TCAGAAAGGCTTATCTATCTAGCCATCCACCCTCATATCTATCTATCTATCTATCTATCTATCTATCTATCTATCTATCTATCTATCTATCTATCTATCTATCTTGCCTGTCTGTCTGTTGGCTTCTGTACCTGTGCTGGTCTATAATTATAATAAAGTCTAGTTTGATTTGACTTGTCTTGCGTTGACTTGGCTTCTGTGCCATTGGGGAAAGAGTTTAAATGCTGGAACTTCCTCTCTGTTTCTTATGACTAGGCATCATTGAATGCTTTCTGATTTATATTTTCACCCTTTCTAACCCGGCTAGGGATTATGAAGTCTGCGATGCAACCAGATTCCGTGAATGGGGGCGGCTGCCCGTCGGAGGAGCAGAGCTGCCCACCTATGGGACTGCAGGAGAGAAAAACAGTTGCGGGGGAAGCCGCCCCCATCTGGGGTCCAGAAAGTTTTGTCCCCTTGGCGAGCAAAAGCTGTTCTGTTTCCCAGCCGAAGCAAACAGAGTGTGTAACGGAGGAAGGATTACGTGCCAGGTAAGTACAGGCCCACCAAGATTGAATTGTCTTGGAATTTAAGATGCTAAATATAGGTCATCCTCGTTTAGCGACCACAGTGGGGACTGGCAACTCAGTCATTAAGCAAAGCAGTTGCAAAGTGAAACATCATGATTTTACGATCTTACTTCAGCTTTAAGCGAAGCAGTTGCAAAGTGAAACATTAAGTCATTAAGCGAAGCAGTTGCAAAGTGAAACAGTCATTAAGCGAAGCAGTTGCAAAGTGAAACATCATGATTTTACGATCTTACTTCAGCTTTGCTTTACAGAACTGCGAAGGTCGTAAATGCAAGGATCGCTCGCAAAGTTACTTTTTCATCACTGTCGTAACTGTGAACAGTCATTAAATGAGGCAGTCGCTAAACAAAGGCTACCTGTATGGTGTTGCTGTCAATTCTATTTCTTGCTTTTTAATGAGGGGGTGATCTTAATGGTTGGGCTGTGCTTTGGATAATACTGATTTTCTAATGAAACAGTCATATTTGTACGTTTGCAGGAGTTACCCAGAATCTTTGATTAGGAGGGCATATCAATCCTGCAAATAACTAAATAGATATTTGTACAGTTTGGTTGAGTAAAGCCAAGGGTTGGCAGTGTGACCATCTTGGCATCTATGGCACTTCAACAGTAACCTATATCTTGCCGGTTTGTGTCAGTCCTCCAAGATAGATCAAACTTGGAAACCAAAATCCTGCAAGCTGATATACTTTTATTATAAAGTTATAGTAACAGAATCTTGCAAATCTGAATGTGCTTCCCCCTCCCTTTATCTTCGTGAAAACTAGGGAGGGTCTTGTCTGATGCTTTCTCGGGTTACAGTTCTGCCCGGGACTCGGATTTCTTTTATTTGACTGTTGTGGTTGTGACTCTTTCTCCTGTTCTTCAAAATGATTCCTCCTGCCCATTTTCTATTTGTCAACTTTCCCAGATTGGGGTATTGTGCAGAAGATCTCACCAAATGCCAGGCAAAAATGGTGACATTTCATGCAGTGTTCTTATGATCTTGGGGGTGAGGTTGCTAAAATCTTAGGAGATTTGGGGGGGGGGTTTATGGTAGCACCTCCTTAACCTTCCTAGGCTTGGAAACTAAGCCAGGTCCATCCTGGTTAGCATTTGGCTGGAAGACAACCAGAGAATTCCAGGGCTGTCAGCTGGACTGGAAAGTTAAAAACAAAAAAAATTCCAGAAGAAGAGAAAGGGCGAATCTTGTTTTATTAAAAGAAAGTACATGGATGTATCAAACTTGATTCAAAGGAGTCTGTTTCATATCTAAAAAACAGTGTTAAATCGGGCCACCGTATAAATTGACATAAATAATTAAGTAAACTATTTTCTTTGGTGCTCCTGCTGCCAAAATAAAACATTTTTATATATTACATAAATTAGATATAAAGAGCAGCATTGTTGCAGAAGATTGCTCAGTGCTAAAACTGCTAATCCCTGGATTGTATTAATGCAATTTGCTTCTCCAGTATGAGAAGGTAGAAAGAAAGGCATTAATTCTTCTCACCTACAAATCTAAGAATTTTAGAAGAGGGTTATGCAATGTTGGCCTTTTGAGTGGTGTGCCCTTCCAAATTGAAGCTGTTGACAATACAGGTAGTCCTTCTTAACAACCGTTCATTTAACGACAGTCCGGAGTTATGACGGCCTTGGGAAAAGTGCTTTATGACCCCTGTGTAAATTCAACCTTAGCCCTAATCGTCTTAAAAAAGGTAACAGCAGTTCTGATTTGCTTAACGGCCAAATCACTTAGCAACCTAAATTCCGGTCCTTATCCTGGTCGGATAGCGAGGGCTACCTGTACGGGCAAAAATTAAAATTGATTTCATTTGCATTTATCTGCAATTCAGTAGAGACCATATGAGCCCTCTGCTCTCACATCTTTATTTCTCCCTCCTACTGTAATACAGCTGTAATTTGGCAACCACTTTGGGGAGTGTTGGTGATAGGAGTGGGGTATCCATGCAAAACTACCATTTTTCCAGATTCCCAGCTCTTTACTGTTGGCTCCATCAAATTCCTTCTTTTGGGATTCTTTTTCAGGGCTGAAAGTTCTTACTCTGCACCATCAGGCCTAAACACCCAGCGTGACTTCTTTGAAGAAGTTGGAGAAGACTACTTAAACTCCTTTGACAAGAAACCCCAGAGAAATTTTGACAGGTGTGTCAGTCCTGCCCAAAGGGCACCACAAGAGTGCATCTTTCAGCACCCTGAGTGTGCTTCTGACCTTTCCGATCCTTGCGACAGGAGCCTGTTGAATTCTCCTTTGGAGTCCGGTGCCGTTGCTGATGAAAAGAAGTCTGAATACAACGGCTGGGAGATCAGCCATTATCCGAAACCTTTGGAAGTGCCATCTTCAAGGAAAGAAGAAGTGTTCCAGGATGACTCCTTGTTTGGCTCTGAGATGTGGAAGAAAGAAGGATCATCTAGCAAGCCAGCCACCCCTGGAACAGGATGGACGACTCCAGAGAACCGAAACGCCAACGGTCAGCCGCAACAGCAGCAAGAGCAAACGGGGAGAGCTCGTCGATCTGGACCAATTAAGAAGCCAGTACTGAAAGCTCTCAAAGTTGAGGAGAAGGAGAAAGAACTGGAGAAGGTGAAAGTGGAGAGTGAAGAGGCTTCCCATCCAGCTAAAGAAAAGGCCCCTTCTTTGAAGGTGTCAGAGGAGGTCGATTCTGGAGTGGCAGTCCACTCTGCTCACTACCGTTTGTTGGAGGAAAAATGCTCCCCTCGAACTCCTGTCCAGGACCCTGAGAGACCTCACGAAGAAGTGGATGCTAGCAAAGAGGAGAATGAGAAGACTGTCAAGGACTGGGAGGGCAAGCATCAGTCAAGGGAGTCTGCTGACCTGCCCCCAACCAAAAGAAATAATTGGATCTTCATTGATGAGGAGCAGGCCTTTGGTGGACGGGGACAAGGACGAGGGCGAGGCCGTGGCTTCCGAGAATTCACGTTCCGAGGCCGTGGCAACACAGTGGGATGTGGTGGTGCTGGTGGTGGTAATCTCAGAGGAGGTTATAACAGCAGCAGCGTGAGCGGTCCCCAAAGAAGCAGCAGGGGACGAGCCTTGAGAGAGTTCAATCAGGTGGAAGAATTCCCACGGGGGAAGCCCAGACGCCGGATTGCGAGCGAGACCCACAGCGAAGGCTCCGAGTATGAAGAGCTGCCAAAGCGCCGGCGTCAGCGGGCCTCTGAGAATAATAATGAGGGCTCCCTTGCCGAAAGAGAAGAGGGTGACCTCAAGAAAGGGGATTTCCGTGACTCCTGGAGGTCCAATAAGATATATTCAGATGAGCAGGGTGCCCTGGATGCCAAGTTGAGGACCCCGCGAGCTTTTGGGCGATCGCTGCCACCAAGACTGAGCAACTCCAGTTACGGGCGACGAGGTTTCGTTTCCAAGGAGCCTTCCCAATGGCAGGGCAGAAATGGGGGAAATACTTGGCAGGAATACGGCCACAACACCCCTCTGGACACCTTTGGATTCAGGCGCCCGCCCGAGAGGGATTACAGCCAAGAGTCCTACAAGGCTTCAGACTCGTTTAGCAGGCGGCCTTTTGAAGAGGACTACGGAGGTGATCCTGAAAACGTTGAGAACCGGCCGTTCCGCCGACGGCGTCCGCCTCGGCAAGACAAACCTCCCCGATTCAGGCGCTTGAGGCAGGAGCGCGAGTCTGTGGGTCAGTGGAACCCCGAAGATGGTGGAGCCAATCTCGTAGCTTGCCAGTGGCCCGGGAGAGCCAAACTGATCATGACTGATTATAACGGCCCCTCTACCAGAAGATCTCCAGAACTGTCCTATCAGAATTCCTCTGATCATGCCAATGAAGAGTGGGAGACTGCCTCTGAGAGCAGCGACTTCAGCGAAAGGCGGGAGAGGTGGGGTGGAGGCGGCGGGACCTCAGAGAACGAGGCACCGTTGGATGGCGGGCTTCCCGGTAGCACCTTGGGGGAAAAGAGAGATCTGGCCAAGAGGAGTTTCTCCAGCCAGAGGCCCGTTGTAGATCGACAAAGCCGGAAATCTGATCCAGTAGGATTTGGGGAGAAAGCCGTACGAGCTGGTGGGAACAGGCCAGCATCCCACTATGAAAGCCAGCAGAACGGGCTACAGATGAAAAGCAAAAGGTAAGCCCCTCCATCTTGTATCTTTCCCTCCACTTAAGAAAAGAGACTGTATTTAGATACAGAGTGGACCTCATAGCCCAACCCATTAAAAGGCTATCTTCCGAAACATATGCTTCCGAAACATAGGCTATCTTCCGAAACATAACCCAAGGTTGCTTCAAGGAAGTGTGATTAGTGGCTTAAATAATGCTTGTAAAACCATCGTAATTTGCAAATTCATGCTTGGCACGCTGATCATGTTACTTAGCCTAGCAATGAAACATCTGCAGGAAAACGATCAAGCTGAGAGAACACCAAGAACCCAACAGTTCAACCCTGAACTACATAAATTCTCTTTATTAAATGACCCATGGAGGCAGGGCCTTATCAGTTCCCCAGAATCTTGAATATGTTCTCCAAATGTTGATGCTGCATCATAATTTTTGATGCTTATCCGTGAAATGATCAGATATTTCCAGAGCAGTGATGAATGCAACACATTTTGGTTTGAACCATCTTGAATATGAACCCCCCCCCCCCCAGTTTGAGAACATGACCGGGCCTGCCCTCGAAACAGGAGGCTTTGAACTTGAAATCGGGTGTTTTGAAACGATTCAAATCTAAATGTGTTGTGCCTAATACTAAAGGGGAGTTCTAGAGAATAAGGAAGGTTACCTTGATGGAAATGTGCAAGAACTGTTACTTAGGCAAAAGGACGAGATAACGTTTGGAAGTGACTCACGTAGACACCTCCCTGATGTCAGCCCCACTAGGTAGACCAGACCAGGAAATCAACTCCACGGGAAGACTAAAACTACTTTTATTGAAATTGACTATAACAGAATCATGCCAATCAGATTGTGCTGGACTTTCTCCCCCTTCTTACACTCCTGTGAAGTAGGGAGGTGTCTATTTGCATCACTTCTGAATGTTATCTCGTTGCTCTGGACTTAAAAAATGCTTTAGCCCCTTTTGCTAGGCATATTTCTTGTGTATTTCTGTCAAGGTCATCTTCCTTACTCTCTACAGGAGCCAGCCAATGAAAGATTGTATTGCAACTGGCATGAATGAGAGGCTGGTTTGTCATGGCACACAGTGGGTTTTTTGGAGCACGTCCCCAAACAACCATCTGAGAGCAATGCTTTCATTTGGACTCCTGAACTGGATGGGGGTTAGATAATTGTGGCCTTGGTGTCCTCTTCCAACTTGGAGATTCTCTGATTTTCAGTTCAGTTGACTCTTCTCCACTGTTTTCTGCAGATCTCCGGAAGAAAATGGCATTCTTGATAGTGGCAGTCCTGGACGGAGCCACTCAACATATGGTTCCCACTCCAACCTGAATGGTGCCGAGAACCTGGAGAAACGGCAAGAGAGGGATCTGAAATCTGGAGTCCCTCAGGTCAGCGAGAAGGGAGAGACCTTGAATCCGTTCGAGCTGAGCTATGGAAGTAAGTTCCTTCAAGGGTCCTGGGGAGAAACCAGCACTCCATTGCAGAAAGAACCTGTTGGAGGCTCGTGCTGAGAACAAAGATAGGTTGTAGTCAAGGGATCTGCCCTTGTAATAGTATGTGGGAAAGACCTTGGGAGACTGGGCCCAGAGACGCTGCCAAGGGATCGGTCAGATAAGAGGGAGCGTAGCCCTCAGCTGGATAGTGGATGGGGCAAGAGGCTCAGTAGGGACCCTCCCTAGTTGTAAAGGAGATGTGGGGGAGAATTGTACTTTCAGACTTGCAAAATTCTGTCAATGTATCTTTACAATCAAATAGGTTTAACTCATCTGGTTGTGATTCCTACCTGGTTTACCCCACGAGGCTGACATCAATTTTGCAAGTCTGAAAGTACAACTCTTCCCCTCTCCCCACCCCATCTCTAACCCGAACCCTTTTCAATCTTCAACTTTTCCCGAGGAGTTTCCAGGCCTGCTCTTCCCAACCCCTCATTTTCCCTTCTCGGTTTTCCAAGCCCAAATTCCAGCCTTCAAGGGCTGAGCGGAAGTTCGCTTTCCAAGAGGGAGGTTTCCTAGTTGCATTAATGTTTCAAGGGGAAGAGAAAAAGCAGAACTAACGCTTTGCTGAAACGCTTGCGTGCCGTTGCTCAGGTGGCGTGATGGAGAGTCGTGGGCCTGGACCTGGGGAAGAGAATGAAATGGGGCCGATGAGCAGCGAAGGGTTCATTGAGGTCCTGACGAAGAAACAACGACGCCTGCTTGAAGAGGAACGGAGGAAGAAGGAGCAAGCCGTACAGGTGAGAAATGCTGGAAAGAAATGTCCTTGAGGGGGGTGATGTGTTGGGTTTTTCTTTTCTGTTACGTGGATTTGCAGAACTCCAGCTGCCCTAGCCGGGCTCCCCATCTGTTTAAATGATTACCTCCTCGTATTATTAAATTAAATTGCTCTGGCTGTCAGAGGATCAAATCTCTGTCATTGTTATGCATCAAATGCATTTCGATGTCGCTTTGCGCATTCCCCTGGATCTAGCCCTGCTTGTCCTCCGAGAAAGGAGCGCTTTGCACCCCGGTCTCAAATTGAATTGCATCAAGGCTCAGCAGTTGGGAGTGGGGGTACAGCTAAGATACAGAGCTTGGGGAGCCCTCGGGGGCCACGTAAAACCCTCCAAACTCCCATCCCAAAGAGGACAGGATGGGGACAGTAGCAGATCATCCCAAAATCAGCCCCCGAATCAGTAGGGGCAGAGCAACACATGCTCTTTTTCGATCCTTATTTTATTGTTTGCACTTTAAAAAAAAAATCATTTCCTTTTCCGTAAAAAATACTGCTTGGTCCCAAGAAAAATGGTAAGCCCCCACTAAGTCAGAAGTTCTTTTTTTGTGCCTGGGACTTCTTGCAGAGTTTGGGCAAATCTACTGGCCCCTTCGCAGAAAAATCTATTTAAATACATACCATCCAATCCATAGGTTGAGATTGTATTGCAAAGGAGACCAGTTATGGTCCAATGTCATTCTCCAAATAGGGGAAAAAAAATAACATACATGTCGAACTGTGATATATGCGCTTCATTATTAATCCATGAACATTTTAGGGCATAATAATGGTAGATAGTGTGATTTCTTTGAAGCTAGCAAACATTTTGGAGGCTGGAGGCCCTAAATGACTTTGCCGCCTACCGCATGGAATGAAATGCTAAACTTCACTTAGAGGTTAGTGTGAAAGAATGGCTGGATGAAGGCCGCGCTCGGGGAGATAAGCATTCCCTTAGTCCCCAACAGGAGCGTGGGAAGTTTAAGAAGATGAGACTGGCACCACCCTAAGGAATTCACGGTGTTGTGACTTGCTGGCTTGGGAAGTTAGATTCAGTTTGGAGAGATTTCTGTCTTGAGGTGGAAGCTAATAAATGCAGCAGAACTATATCTGCACTGTCTCGTGGAGTTCTTTGGGCTGAACCTGACATCAATCTCTCCAGACTCTGACTTCCCAAGCCAGCAAGCCAAAACACCGTGAATTCCTTAGGGTTGTGCCAGTCTCATCATCTTAACCTTCCCACGCTCCTGTTGGGGACTAAGGGAATGCTTATCTCCCCGAGCGCGGCCTTCATCCAACCATTCCTTCACAGTTAGTGAGAATAAAGTTGCCATGTTTTCAGGACCCCCTGAAATCTACCCATGGATCCCCAAAGGGTCCATGAAGTTGAGAACTCCAAACTCAGAGGAATGGTGCTTGGGAAGGGTCCTAATGCCGGCGTTTTTCTCATTTCGTAGGCTCCATCTAAAGGCCGCGTCCTTCAATCCCGCATCCCACCTCGGTTTGCGAAGAAGCAGAACAGCCTGTGCCTGGAACAAGGGGACGTCTCGGTGCCTCGGAACACCCTGGGGACGGAGATCTGGGAGACCAATAGTGCAGGTGAACCCAGGTCACAGCCGGTCCTACCGTTTGGCATTTGAAGCCAGATGCCACCATGCAATCAATCAGATCTTTATTACGCTTCTAGAGCAGCATAGGTTTCCAGAGCTCCCATCCCGCCTCTAAATCTCACCTCTCTGCTTTTGTGGCAGCGCTGTCCGTTCAGTCGGCTGGTCCCGATTCCTGGAGCAAACCCGTTGGCACCTTTATCGGTAACGAGTCCAGCTCTGCCGAGGTCAGTGGTGCCCAATCTGTGATTCTCTCATGCCAAGGAGAGTTGATGATCTATATACCTATTGGGACAAGGGTCTTGCTAAGCTGGTCTTAGCCAGTCAGAGCAACATCTCTGGACCTTGGCTCCTCCTGAGGCAGCCAAAGATTGCCTTGGCTTTTTTTGCAGCAGCATCACACAGGTTGGCTCATGTTCCACAAAAATCCATTAAAAATGGCCAGAAATTGGATGATGATGTTTTAAGATTTTGCTCCTAGGTAAGAGTTATATGGGAAAGAAGTTATGTGTTGCATTTTAAATTTATCTGATGAAGGTTAACAATAGTTATGTTGTTCTTTCTGGTCATTTTTCTTGGATTTTTATAGATTGGAATTGAATGATGAGGTTTGGGGGATTTGTTTTAAAAATAGAAAATGAGGTATTCATGTAAAAGGGAGGAGTTCAAGTGAGTTTATTAGATTAAGTTTATAATAGATAGGTCGTTATTTCTGGTAACCCTTAATGGACTTTGGCTGATTAGGAGGGAGGATGAAGTTTTAAAGATTTGTTTATAGAGAAGGAGGTGAGATATAGGATGAAGAGATTGTGTGTTGTATTTTAAGGGACAGTAAAATTATATATACTTGCGGGAACGAAGAGGGGAGCGACTTCATTCTTGTCTTTTCCTTTTTTCCTTTTTTCTCTTTTTCCTCCCTGCATTTTATTTTTTCTTTCTACCTTTTTCTTTTTTATAGTTTGTCTTAGTTTTATCTGTTCTTGTAATTTTAATAAAATTATTATAAAAACTAAAACAAGTTGGCACATGTTCAACTTTTGATCCACCGACCTCCTTTTGCTGGCTGGTATGGTTCCCCCTCACCCTCCACCCCTTCTAATTTTTCCTACCCAAAAAGGGAACTTTGCACACCTTTCTTTCTGCTGTGGATGGTGAAGATTTGTTTTCTGATTGGCCCTGGCTTTTCGTTCCAGGGCTCCTTCTAACCCAGTGTTTCTCAACCTCGGCAATTTTAAGATGGGTGGACTTCAACTCCCAGAATTCCTCCGCCAGCATTCTTGCTGGGGTATTTTTGGAGTTGGGTCACACCTTCTTAAATTGCCGAGGTTGAGAAACACGGGGTTAGAAGGAGCCCTGGAACGAAAAGCCAGGGCCAATCAGAAAACAAATCTTCACCATCCACAGCAGAAAGAAAGGTGTGCAAAGTTCCCTTTTTGGGTAGGAAAAATAAGAAGGGGTGGAGGGTGAGGGGGAACCATACCAGCCAGCAAAAGGAGGTCGGTGGATCA